ACCCTCATCGTCCAAGTCATCCTGTCTCCGCACGAAAGGAGACAGGGATGGGGGAGGGGGGGCTCGCTGGTCCATTCGACCTTACCCTTCTGGTGGCGCACGGCCAGGTACTGCGTGCGCGCGGCCTTCTTGACGCCACACTCGACCAAGCCGAACGTGGTGATCTTCTGGAGGGCCAGTTTCTCGAGCTCCTGGAATTCCTTCTGCAGGACCTGCACCCTCGACTTGACGTCCTCCTGGTCGCCCAGCTTCATGTCCTTCAGCGCCCCCTTGATCTCCAGAAGCTCCTGCTCCCGCTCGCCGAACCTCTTCAGGGCATCCGTGCAGTCAGGGGCATCACTGTTCTCCCTGTGCTTGTCCTTCAGCGCCCTCAGCTTGCCTGCAGTAGACTTCGGGCCCAAATACTTCGCCGCCATGGCCACGCAGTCCTGCATGATCTCCTCCTTGGCCACTAGGAAGAGCGCCTCCGCGTTGTCCTTCTCGATATGATGCTTGGGGTCCTTCCTCTGCCTGGCCGCCCTCATCGACGCTGCGTCGTCAGGCTGCTTGCGCTTACTGCCAGACCACGTCGCGCACTCCATGGGCGACCTGCCCCGAGGGGTGCGCTCCACCAGACCCGAGGGAAGATCGCCGAGGCCAACGACTCGACCGTCGCTCAAGGGCGGGTTCGTAGCCCCACTGTTGCCACCAATGTCGCCGTCCTGGCTCAGCGTCACGATGCCTGTCCTGCGGTCGCGGCCAGTCTCCTTCATCTCGTACTTGTGGCCCTTGATGCGCTGGCACGGCTCGCCGTCGGAGTCGTAGTGCGGGGAGGTCTCTTGCAGCATGTCGAACTCCTCGCTGGCGTCATCCGAGGGGACCTTGTCCCAGAAGCCTCGGTAGGACTTGTAGTGCCTCTTGGAGTACATCTGGTTCTTCCTGCCCGTGCGCTCCTTATCGACCTGCATGTCCTCCGTCTGAGTCAGGCGCAGCTTCGCTTGCGTCTCAGCCCGCGCCTTGCCACGAGTCGAGGAGTAGGCCACACCGTTCGACTTGTACGGCATGACATCGCTACGCCACGTATCGGGGTCCCCATGCACCTTACTCGCGGAATCCTTGAGCGCCTTGGCATTGCCTTTCAGCTGCAAGCGGTGGGAGCGAACGGCGTTCCAGCAATCGGCCGAGAGCTGGACGCCTCGCCACTCCTTCGTGATAACCTCCTCCTGCTCACACAAGTAGCACGTCGCCATACTGTCCTGCAAGACGTTGCCGCCGTCTCCAGCGAGATCCCCGTCACGCGACCCAGCACTACGGGCCGAACTAGGCCCAGACGCCATCGTTGAATTGACCAGACAAGCGATGCAATAATCAACTTGCAGTGAGTGACTGCTGAAGCTAACAACCTTGAGCCCAAATGGCAACTGACGAGACGACGTCGTGGCGAAATCATGTACGTAGCACCCCGCAATTGCGGATAAGAGTGAGGGGGCGGGCGGGCAGGCGTGGCGACAGCGACCGCCCACGCCGCGACCGCGCCGCGACCGCGCCACGACCCGCCCGCGCCGCGAATCGCTCGCGACCCACCCGCGCCGCGACCCACCCGCGAGACGACCCCACCAGCCACCAGCGACACCACCAACACAACGCCACCAGCCACACCACCAACCACACTACCAGCCACGCCACCAGCCACACCACCAGCCACACCACACTACCACACCACCACCACCAGCCACCAGCCACACCACCACCACCGCGCCACCAGCCACACCACCAGCCACACCACCAGCCACACCACACTACCACACCACCACCACCAGCAGCCACCAGCCACACCACCACCACCACGCCACCAGCCACACCACCAACCACACTACCAGCCACACCACCAGCCACACCACCAGCCACACCACGCTATCACACCACCACCACCAGCCACCAGCCACACCACCACCACCACGCCACCAGCCACACCACCAACCACACGAACAGCCACACCACCAGCCACACCACCAGCCACACCACACTAGCTCACCACCACTACCACACCACCACCACCAGCCACCAGCCACACCACCACCACCAGGCCACCAGCCACGCAACCAGCCACACACCACCAGCCACACCACACTACCACACCACCACCACCACCAGCCACCAGCCACACCACCACCACCACCACGCCACCAGCCACACCACCAACCACACTACCAGCCACACCACCAGCCACACCACCAGCCACACCACACGACCACACCACCACCACCAGCCACCAGCCACACCACCACCACCACCACGCCACCAGCCACAGCACCAGCCACACTACCAGCCACACCACCAGCCACACCACCAGCAGCCACACCACACTACCACGCCACACTACCACACCACCACCACCAGCCACCAGCCACACCACCACCACGCCACCAGCCACACTACCAGCCACACCACCAGCCACACCACCAGCCACACCACCAGCCACACCACACTACCACACCACCATCAGCCACCAGCCACCAGCCACACCACCACCACCACGCCACCACCCACACCACCAACCACACTACCAGCCACACCACCAGCCACGCCACCAGCCACACCACACAACGAAACCACCGCCACCAGCCACCAGCCACACCACCACCACGCCACCAGCCACACCACCAACCAGACTACCAGCCACACCACCAGCCGCACCACCAGCCACACCACACTACCACACCACCACCACCAACCACCAGCCACACCACCACCACCACGCCACCAACCACACCACCAACCCACCCGCGCGGCCACCCACCCGCGACCCGCCCGTGCCGCGACCCACCCGCGCGGCGACCCACCCGCGACCCACCCGCGCCGCGAGCCACCCTTGCCGCGACCCACCCGCGACACACCTGCGCCGCGACCCACCTGCGACCCACCCGCGACCGACCCACCCGCGCCGCGACCACCCGCGACCCACCCGCGACCCACCCAGGACGACGCAACAAACAAAACAACAACAACAACAACAACAACAACAACAACAACAACAAGAATCCGCGCCGCGGACCCCCACTTCAGCTACGCACCCAGGGACAGTGAATGACCGTTCGGCCCCCTCACTCTGACACTTGACACTTGATGCGCCCCCTGAGGGCCCCGAGAAATCTGAAAATTGAATGATCCAATGGCAAACTATCAATGTGACTCCAAGCGAGCGGTCGGTGGACGAGTGATACTGGCACGGGCACGCGCACGCCTCCCTGGGGGCCAGGTTCGCAACTCGTGGCAGGGGCGCTCCTGAACCCCACCAGCCCTGTTGTGCATATGTGGTTTAGTGCGCTTCCTCTTCTAACCCTTGTTCTCCCCCTTCGGGGATGGGTTTACCAATCCCCCGACCCCCATCCCATGGACCTGGACGGGGGGGGGGGTCCGCGAGGGGTTGGGATGTCCCAGATGGCCCAAGGCGGCTCCAAGAGCGCCTCGGCAAGCCCAAGATGATGTCCAATATTCCTCGAGATAGCCTACGATGCTTCACGACGGCTCCGAATATGCTCCAAAAGGCCGCAATACCGCCCCAGGACAACTCCAAGATGCCTCCGAGACTTCCAAGGAGCCGACCAAGGAGCCGATAGCCTCCAACATCTTAAAGAAAACCAATGTTTGATGATGTCTCGTCATTTTGCTTATGATGGACTTCCGAGGCCTCAAGGTGGCTCCAAGATGGCCCAAGAGGGCCCCATGAGAGGCCCAGGAGAGCCTCAAGGCGCCCCCGAGGGCGCCCACGAGCGCTCCAACATCGCAAGAGAGCGCCTCAGGATGCGATTTCTGGGGCTCCCGAGGGGGGCGGCCATAATTGAAGCTGCCATCTGGTTTGATCGAGGACCAAGCGCGCCCCTCGAGCTCCCAAGAGCGCCCCAAGAGGGCCCCAGGAGGCGCCCAGTCGGCTCCGAGAGGCGCGCATGAGGCATCCCAGAGCCCCCCCCCCCCCTCCCCCCCCAATATACCCACAATAAGCCTCAACATGGCCCCAGAGGCACCCAATATGCCACCACCACCCCCCTTCCCCACCACACACCAGACGATCCAAGAGGCACCCAAGATGCTCCAAGAGGTCCACATATTGCCCCAAGAGGCCCCCCCCCAAGGCCCCCGATATGACCCCCAGCGGCGCCCAGAGACACCACCGAGGCACCCACAACGCCCAACGGCACCCCTGGAACGCAAAAACACAACCAAGGCGGCCCAAGAGGCATCCAATATGCGCCCAAAATATACCCAAAGAGATCCCGAGAGGCATCCAAGAGGCCCATTGCTGTTTTGCTCGCCCTCCTCATCAATCCTCATCCTCCTCCTCATCCGCCGACTCCTCCTCCTCATCATCATATTCGTCAGCTTACCCCTCCTCCCTCATCAAACCACCCATCATCATTCTCATCCTCCTCCTCATCCTTCGAACGGTTCGGCTGCCCCCCTATTTGCCACTGCACTTCACTCATCACCTCAACTCACATGGGCGTCGTTTCTGGATTGGCCGATGGGGATACGCAAAGCGTCAAGAATTCAAACACAGACCACCAGAAAGGGAATGGGGGGAGTTCGGGGGGGAGGAGGATGGATGAGGAGGAGGAGGAGGGGTGAGAATGGGGGGATGCACGGGGGAGGGAGGAAGACAAGGATAATGAGAAGCACGAATGACACATGCATCAGAGGAGGGAGGAAGATAAGGAGAATGATGAGGTATCCTCGTTCTCTGCCGACCTACTCCAATCATGGCTCAAGAATGCCGCCGCCGAATCCGAATGGCTCAAGTGCGTTACCATATCTTGTAATGACCGAAACTGCTGCAAATCACAATGCGTATATACATGCAGCGCTGAAAGGTGGCGTTCAAGACTCTGCCGTTGGATGCCCCAACGACCTTGCACTGGACATCGAACCAAGGCGCATCTGCTGGCACGGCCATCTCAATCCGAGTCGTCGGCCAAAGGGATGCTCATCTTGGTCGAGCTCGTGATGGGCCAAGGGTTGGCCGCCCCAATCCACAGGCTCGGGATTCCAATCACAGTGGACGTGGGCTGCTTCTTCTTATCCTTGCCGTGCTGCACTTGGAATGTTACGACGCCGCCGATGGAGATGGATTGCGTGCCCTTCTTGATCTCCTGGGGGCAGGAGGGTTCGATGGTTTGGAGGGCGGGGGGGGTGCTATTGGGAGGGCGGGGGCGAAGTCGTCTCCGCCCCGCCCTCGCCCCCGTTGCCACCCCCCACCTCCGCCTCAAGCCGAACCTGTTCCCGCTCGGGATCCTCGATGCACACGCGGCTCAAACACTTGAGCATCCTCTCGACCTTGCCCTCCTTCAAACGCACCATCTTCGCAACGGCCGTGACCACCTCGGCCGTGCCAACATGACTGATCTGCGTGAGCATGGGCTTGGGCTTGGGCTTGTGCTGGCCCTTCGGCTTGGACCTCTTGACCTTCATCTTCGGCTTCTCTGGGCTGCGCGGGAGGGGCTCATTGGGCGAGGGCCCCTTCGCGTCGGCAGGGCGTTGCGGGGAAGCTGCAGACGCGGTTGGCCCCATCGTCGGCATCACTGCCGCTGGGGCCAAGTAAGCTGGACTTACAGTGCACCTGGCCTCTCGCCAGGAGGCGCGGACTGAGTGATGGCAGAAATCCAAGCTTGAGACCGTCGAGCTGCGGGAGAGAAGGGCGGTGAGAAGGGCGCGGGGGGGGGAGGGGCGGGAGCGATGAGGGGGCGACCCCTCCGTCTCCATGTCGCCCCAGCCCGCGCACTCAACCAGAACGTCCGAAGGTGGCCTACATGCCGCCCAAATTTGCACTTCCTCGATCCATTTCAATCGTGCAGCTTTATTGATTTACTCCGGCGTACCTGCATCGTTTCTGGACGGGCCGTCGATTTCGGTTAATGTTCTCCCGTCGCCATCGTACTGGTACTTGGGATTGCGCAGCTAATACGTATGTGTGTGTGTGTGTTTTAGTGTGTGTGTGTGTTTGTTGTTATGTTTTGTTGTTTGTTTTTTTTATGTTCGCGTTTGTGATTGCGCAGTTCATCCAGCCCACCCTTCACTCGTAATCCAATCGGTCGTCACCGATATTTGTTAACTTTTAGTTTCCAGACCACCATGGCGACTTTTCGGTTGTGGGCACTCCAGAAATTGCCACGCGCGCGCGGCGGGTGACCCACCCACCGCGCGGGTCACCCGAAATCCCGTCGGTCACCACTAAGGGTTCAATTGAGTTTCCAAGCCAACATGGCAACTTTTCGATTGAGGACAACACAGAACCCCCCACGCGCGCGCGTAGGGCGTTCGCAAAAACGGCTCTTAAGTTCAGAATCCAGTCGGTAACCGTCCAGACCCACTTTAGTTTCCAAGCCAACATGGCGACTTTTCGATTGCGAACACAGCGGACATTCCCACACGCGCGCGCGGCGGGTGACACGCCCACCGCGCGTGTCACCCCAGAAATCCTGTTGGTCACCGTTAAGGGCTCACTTTAGTTTCCAGGCCAACATGGCGACTTTTCGATTGTGGACAACACAGAACTCCCCATGCGCGCGCGTTGGAAATGCGCAACACGCATCTTAACTTCAAATCCAATGCATTAAGTGGCGCGGTGGACTGCGCGCGCGCGGTGAGGAATTCTGTATCGCCCACAATCGAAAAGTCGCCATGCTGGCATGGAAAACAAAATAACCTCCTAACGGTGACTAGCAATATTTCTGGGGTGACACGCGCGGTGGGCGTGTCACCCGCCGCGCGCGCGTGGCATTTCCGCAGTGTCCAATATCGCAAAGTCGGCATGCTGGCTTGGAAACCCACAGGGTCCTTTAACGGTGTCCGATCGGATGTTGAACATAATGGCAATTTTTGCGCATTTCCAACGCGCGCGAGACGCGGCGCGCGCGCGCGCGGTTTGAGGAGTTCTGGATTGCCCACAATCGAAGAAGTCGCAATGTTGGTCTGGAAACTACAATGAACCCCTTAACAGTGACCGATTTGATTTTCACGTTAATATTCGCTCTCTTGTACGATTTCTACTATCACTCACCACGCGCGCGCGCGTGGACGCGCGCGGGGGGAGCTCTGTATTCGAAGTCCACACTCGAAAATCAACAAGTCGCAAAGCTGGTGTGGAAACCCGAAAGAACCCTTAGCGGTGACAGGTTTGACTTTGGAGTTAACATGCGTCTTTGCGCATTTTCCACGCGCGCGAGTGGGGGGCTCTGTGTTGTCCACAAACGAGAATTCGCAATGTTGGCGTGGAAGCTAATGTGGCAGTCAGAAGTCCGCTGGGCCACCGTTCAGGGTTCAACGCGGACGCGCCAGGGGGTTCGTCGCGTCGCGGAACGGCAGCGCGAACGGGGCGCGCCGACGACGACCCCTCGCGGCGCAACTTGACTCAACGGCATTTCCGCGTCGCCGCGCGGGCTGGAATACGTCGTCCGCACGAACCGCTAGGGGGGGGGGGGGGGCAGTCGGGGGCGCGATTGATGCCGTCGGCGTTGCGCGCAGGACCGACGCGCGCGACCATCGCGCCGACCAGCGCGCCAAACCGCCCCGAACAGCGTCGAACGACGGCGGCGCGCTCCCAGGGGCGCTGGCCGAGCATCGGCCGCTGCGCAATGGCCGACGCTGGCCGATCCGCGGCGCCGCCGCGCCTATTGCGCGCGACACGGCCTCTGCCCGACGACGGCGCCAACGTCGGCAAGGGCGCAAGTGATGCGTGGGGCCGAGACGCCCCGATTACGAGTCGGGCGCAATCGACCGCCGCGGGGTCGCCTCGCGCGGCCCAGCCGCTGCCGCCAGCGATCTCAACCGAAGCTTTGCGCGGGTTGGAAGCGCGGCATCCCGCGCCCCAGCGAGCGGCTGCGCGCGCGGGCGTTGCTGGGCACGCCGCAAGTGGAACCGCAATGGCTTGCCACCAGCGCATCGAGCGCGCGCGCAGGGGCGCGCTTCGGGGCCGAGACGGCGACGGGGCCGCGCGCGCGAGAGCAATTGTTTCCGCGCTGTTCGATACTCCCGTTGCCCCCGCGGATGTGCAACTTTTTTTCTCGCGGTCGGGGGCGTTTGAGCCGCTTCATAGCCCGTGAATGCGTCGGCCGCGAATGGCCGTCACGCCCCGTCGTCAAACGAGCGAGCGGCTGATATTCGCAAGCAGAAGGGCCACCGCTCGGGCGCGCGCGATCAACGCCAGGCCTCACGCGCCCATCCGTCGGGGGGAAGATGTTGCACTTGCCAGGGCCAGAGGCACGCTTCGCGCGCGAGCGTGAACTTCGCGGGCGTGGCCGATGGCCGCAGATTCGCGCGGCGCAGCTCCAGCATGTCATCGCGGGCGCGCGACGAGTGGCAGCGCGGCGCCATCGCGCGCATTGGTGGTGCGTGGGTGGGGCGGGTGGGCGGGTGGGGTGGGGGGTCGCGCGTCGGCGGGGGCTGGCGGCGGAGGGCTCGAGATGGGCGGCTCAGCGGCGCGCGCGTCTTGGCGCCGACGCCGATGAGCGCGAGGGGCATTGCTGCAGAGGAAGTTGCAATGGCGATGGTGCGCAGCGGCCGCGCCGAAGCCAATGCAATCAATGACGCCGCATGACCGCCTCGCTCTCCCAAGCGGAACGCGTTGCTGATATAGATCAGCCGTCCCATGTCTCAATGTCGCGGCATCGGCCGCATGAACCCATCTTGGTCGCTGAGATCGCGCGAGCTCGCACTGCGTGGGCCATGGCTTCTGCCCTGGTACGAATGCCGCTGCTCGGCAATCGCGCCAACCCATGAGTTCGACATCGCCCCTTTCGCGAAACGCTCAGGCTGCGCTCGTTGCCCAGTGTATGTTGCTCTGACGCAAGCTTGCTTCAAGCTCGCAGCGTCCACACCGTTCTATGTTGTTCTGGCTGGATCATTGCGCATGCGTTGCATCTTGCGATGAGCGCGCGTGCTCGGTTCCTACTCGGTTCCTACTCGGTTCCTACTCGGTTCCTACTCGGTCCCTACTCGGTCTCGACGCACAGAGCGGTTCATACGTGGTTCCTACTCGGTTCCTACTCGGTTCCTACTCGGTTCCTACTCGGCGTCTACTCACCCGAGTGGTTCCTACTCGGTTCCTACTCGGTTCCTACTCGGTTCCTACTCGGTTCCTACTCGGTTCCTACTCGGTTCCCATGCTGGCGTGGCTGCCAACGCCGCCAGAACTTGGATGCGCGAAACGCGCATCGGCTGCCGCGCACGAAACCGTAAACTCGTGTTTCTGAGATTTCGCGAGCCCGTCCTCTCGATTTTGCGAGGTCGCTGCAGCCTATAAATTTACAACATTTGGGCGCCATCCCCCCGTCTACTCGGCGGCTGACACCGTCAACTCCGTTTCCTCGCGCGCCGCGACGACGTTTCCCTGGCCGCGCAGACTTGGCGACAACGCCGATCTGCGAACGGGAAATGCGGCAATGCCAACAATACATTGCGCAAATACGAAATGCGCGCGTTCGCAGCAGGGATATCCGCGTTGCGTTATTCACGGCGACCAGCCGCAGCTTCAGCCGCCGCCGAGATTGCGGCATGGGCCAGCGCGGCACAACCTGCGCAGCGCAGGGTAACAAGGCTTACGCCATCATTCTTGTTTGGCCACGTTTGGTTGCGTTGGGCGCGGATCTGACGCCTCTTACTGTAAAGGGGTTTTGTGCAGCTCGGCGCAGTTCCGCCAGCATCGCGACGTTTTGCGTCCTGTCGCGCAGCTCACCGACACGCGGCGTTGCTCGTCGCGGGCATGCGTTTAAGCCGCGCGTTCCATATCCCCGCGCAACGGCAGCGAACCAATGACGCGTCGCCATACTACCTGACGGGAGCGAAGCCGAATGGCTGACAACGGTGCTGCGTGCACGGGGCGCCCCTGCGCATGTTGAATATGTACCTGGCGGAACGCATGCCAACAAGGGCGCGTTGGCGTTCTGCGCGGTCGGGCCGCGTTCGCACGCGCGCAAGATGGCGCACGCGTTGCACATGGGAAAAACAACGCGCCCAATGCAAGTGCGCGCCGCGGTATAAATCTAGAAAGTCGTTTCGCGCGCGCGCGCGGTGACGCATGCGCGCGTGCATTGGCGCGTGGCCGCGGACGCGCGCAAGCGCGCGCGCATGCTTGTCCTGGATCCAGACACCTGCGTGTATCAATTTGCGGGCCCTTGCCCTTGCGCATTAAAAAACGCGCGCGTGCGCATATTGGCTAGCTTGCGCCCGTATGTGCAAATGGACATGGGTTCAAGTGCAAGCGGCGGCGCGCGGCGCTGCGTGCGCTTGCGCTGGCGCGCGCGACGTGTACCCGTATTCCATACACACAGTCGTTCGCATAGTGACGTTGTTGCGCATATGTACAAGTGTACACACGCATGCGTTGTTACGTCACTTCGCACGTTCATGTATTGCTCGCGGCGGATTCGGTTCAGGCGCGCGTTTGTACATGCGCTGTTTTGCACTAGCCATCCTTGCGGATGTGGTTTAACATGGTTTGCCTTAACTCTTCCAAAACCTATCCTTTCAATATTCGGGGACAGGCTTTCCCCTCCCCCGACCCCCTTCCCCTGGGTCTGGAC